TCTGATCATTTTATTTTACAGAATCATCCTTTATCTACGGAAAGTAGGAACCACTTTTTTTCGATTTCGATTTAGTAAGAAATCAAGGTGAATATTTCACCGTCAACTGGCAGGTGTAAAAAAAAAGAAAGAAAAAAAGTTGACACTCTTACAAGCACTGGAAAAAATCGAAAAATCTGCTCCCTACATTCCCTACATTCCACAAAATGAGCCGTAATATGTTTATTTTGGACTAAATTTGCGTCTGTTACGGCATTTGAAAATAACAAGTATATTTCTATTGATGGACCTTGATTTATTATTATGTATTTTTTTCTTTTCGTAATTTTTGGGTATGAACAATAAAAGGGAGAAGCATAATTTTCCTAAAACACAGTTGTCTGTCATGTGCCTGCACTTCGAAGTCTGGCGGAAATTGTCAACATGTAACAGTGCCTCAAAAGACTCAAAAGATGTTAGTGTCCAGCTGATTTGCCGTTTCTCGGCATAAATTTACCATTTTAGAAAATATTTCTAAAATTCCAAGAAATAATGCAGGTATTCTGATTTCATTTCCGAATAGATTAATCTTTCCTCTATTGTAAGCGGAAGCACATTTCTCGATTTCGACCTACTTTATTAGGTGAATATTTTACGTTGACTACTTTTAGAACACCACAAAAGGGGCTTTTTAAACTATGTCACTTTTACAAGAATCACAGGAAAAAATGCAAAAACTAATTCCACCATTCAATAGATCTACTATTCAGCTACAAAATGAGACATAAACGTTGTTTTCTGACAGAAATGCGTGTGCTCCGCGTAACAATGTAGCGTATAGAAAGTTTTTTCAACTTTCTATTTTTTACATTATGGATAAAAAATATATGCAATAATTCTATATGATAAAATCATCTATTATTTCCCTTTACCATTGCTCTGTTGGGGTTTACAACAAAAAATGCCGGTCTGAAATATCATCGTTCTCCATACATCCCACTCGCAGGCCGGGACGCGAGACAAGGCCCCGCGACAGCTTCTGTGGCCAGTCCCGGGCAGTGCAAGTCTACGGGAAGAAACACCCACCTTTCACACAAGGAGCGTTCATGACTGGGCTAGCACTACGCAAACTTCGGGCTCGAAGACGGCCTCCATCCATCTCGGGGTCGAAGACGGCCTCGGGGGTCGAAGACGGCCTCCATCTCGGGGTCGAAGACGGCCTCCATCTCGGGGTCGAAGACGGCCTCCATCTGGGGTCGAAGACGGCCTCCATCTCGGGCTCGAAGACGGCCTCCATCTCGGGGTCGAAGACGGCCTCCATCTCGGGCTCTCCATCTCTCGAGGACGATCTCGGGCTCGAAGACGGCCTCCATCTCGGGCTCGAGGACGGCCTCTATCTCGGGCTCGAGGAAGGCCTCCACCTGGGGCTCGAGGACGGCTTCCATCTCGGGCTCGAAGACGGCCTCCGAAGCCTGCATATTGGGCTCGAGGACGGCTTCCATCTAGGGCTCGAGGACGGCCTCCCAAGCCTCCATCTCGGATCGAGGACGGCCTCCATCTCGGGCTCGAGGACGGCCTCTATCTCGGCTCGAGGACGGCCTCTATCTCGGGCTCAAGGAAGGCCTCCACCTGGGGCTCGAGGACGGCCTCCATCTCGGGCTCGAGGACGGCCTCCATCTCGGGCTCGAGGACGGCCTCTATCTGGGCTCAAGGAAGGCCTCCAGGGCTCGAGACGGCTTCCATCTCGGGCTCGAAGACGGCTCCATCCCGAAAGCCTCCATCACGGGCTCGAGGACGGCCTCCTCCATCTCGGGCTCGAAGACGGCCTCCAGGGCTCGAGGACGGCTTCCATCTCGGGCTCGAAGACGGCCTCCATCTCGGGTTCGAAGACGGCCTCTCCATCTCGGGCTCGAGGACGGCCTCCATCTCGGGCTCGAAGACGGCCTCCATCTCGGCTCGAAGACGGCCTCCAGGGGCTCGAGGACGGCTTCCATCTCGGGCTCGAAGACGGCTCCATCTCGGGCTCGAAGACGGCCTCCATCTCGGGCTCGAGGACGGCCTCCATCTCGGGCTCGAAGACGGCCTCCATCTCGGCGAGACGGCCTCCATCTCGGGCTCGAGACGGCCTCCATCTCGGGCTCGAGGACGGCCTCCATCTCGGCTCGAGGAGGCCTCCATCTGGGGCTCGAGGACGGCATCTCGGGCTCGAGACGGCCTCCATCTCGGGTTCGAAGACGGCCTCCATCCATCTCGGGCTCGAGACGGCCTCCATCTCGGGAATCTCGGGCTCGAAGACGGCCTCCATCTCGGGCTCGAGGACGGCCTCTATCTCGGGCTCGAGGAGGCCTCCACCTGGGGCTCGAGGACGGCCTCCATCTCGGCTCGAGATCTCGGGCTCGAAGACGGCCTCCATCTCGGGCTCGAAGGACGGCCTCTCCATCTCGGGCTCGAGGACGGCCTCCATCTCGGGCTCGAGGACGGCCTCCATCTCGGGCTCCATCTCGGGCTCGAAGACGGCCTC